CAACTGAGGGGAATAAGAATAACGATAATTATAGTGATTATGCGAAACATACCTTTTAAAATGGGTAATTTTGCAACCAGGATATATTGCCTTATAATCAAATAGATCTGACCAGCCCAGAATTTGTAAGAGTTGTTCAGCCACTCTGATTGCAGCAGTACTGGTAGATAAATACAGGAGAGACAGAGAGAAAAGTGACAATGGGCATGCAGCACTTCACATCACACTATCAAATAATACAATTCTGAAACTAACTGAACAGGTTGTTTAACTAGCCGGCTAGCTACCTAGTTGACTTCATGGTTTATACAAAGCTACTAGACATTTAATCAGTTCATGTGCACGGATTTCTCATCACATATAAATATCACTTAGAGAATCATTGAAAACAGTACACAAGCACTGGACACCTATCTGTTTTATCCTACTCTGGAGACGACTCCATAGCTCATTCAAGGTTCGAGCTCACCGTCTTCAAGTCAACTAACATAACCATTCAGACAGACACTGGGCCTGGATCATGAAGTTTAACCTCTGTCAATTCGCGGTATGAGCACGACTGACAATCAGTGTCATCGATGTCCACTCACCCCACATTTCACCTTAACACGGTGAACCACACTGATCACGACTTATTACTACAATTTCTTCAGGACATTCACAGCCAGTAGTCACTAATCAGCTCGGAACTGATGTGAAAATTGTGTTCTGTAGGTATTCGCATTAATTTTTAATAGTTCGACTTCGTGACAGGTCTGTGACAACCATTCACAAAATATAACTAGAAAGTCGTTTACAAATTGAGACGGTTCTGTAATACTTCTTCAAAAAGTTAATCAGTACCTAACAATCTACAGAATTTACTTTAAGAACAAGATTACAGCAAGCTAATATGTATTTCAGGCAAATTCTCATAAGGCTTTACAATCAAATAATAAAACATCATTCATAGACATTTGGAAAACAATGTGGGTGAGTAGGACGAAGTATAGTCGACGAAAATGTCAGTAGAATTAGAATAATTCCATCAATACCCTGATGAGATCCTATTTGTACACAGCAAGAGGAACAAACGACAACAACAAATGGGTGTTGTGACGGACCCATGAATTTGTTTCCCGGAAAATACTCTTGATATGTATCCACATATATATATTTATGTGTGTGTGTATATGTTGGTCTCTCTTTCTGTTTACTCGCTTAGTCTGTGACCATTTCACTTGTATGAACTTGTCTCCTTTAACAATGTATATTCTCCTTATATTATATTATATATAATATGAGTGTTTGTTGACAGTCCGTTGCTTGGTGACATATATCCATATTATATGTTTGGTTGTTGACATGTCTGCTATATGTATATATGGATCGATACTTCATTATAATTAGCCATTCATGTTAAGACTGTCTAGTGATTTGTTCACACCCTTGTCTGAACATTCATATATATTTCGCATACACAATTTGTGTGAAATACTTTACTTACTTATCACTTTGGTGTGAGACCATTTATCTTCGTCTCCTTGTGTTTGGACAATAGAAGTATCATCGCAAACCTAGTGGTCTTCTGATTTCCGCCTTCTCGCGTCAGGACTATTAGTTTCTCGACCAGTCCATAACAATAATTTAGCGACGAGTACATAACAATTTGGCGACGGGGAAACTAGTACATAACAACTCTCATCTTGTTAGCAGGACACGAAGAAATGATAGAGTATGGTCTTTCCCCACTTCCTGTGTGAACTAAATTTGCAGCTGGGTCATTTTAAACATTTTGAAAAGGAATTCAGTATCGGTTTTATTCTTATGCACGACAGAACTCTATCATCCATGTATCTATAGGAGAACGAAGTGCATTCATTACACACTTCAGCAGACGATTCTCTAATTTTTCCATAAACATATCGGCTGAGAGATTTCGCGGCTAAGATGAAACTGCACACTCATCCTACAACGGAATAGAAGTTCCCGTAGTGTTTTAGGTGGTATCCATATGTACTTCTATATCATTTGCTATCAGAGATTCATAGATCAACTCAATGGTCTCTAATTATGGAACTTTAGTGGAAGGGGAAAACAAACATCCATAGGGATCACCGTTTCGTTGTTGAGCTAGAAAAATCTGCACAAACGTCACTCTTGACGACAAAATAAGAAAAATAGGAGTCGTGTATTATACGAGGACAGATATACAAAAGAATTTGTTAAGGTCTCCATGATAAGAGCAGATAGAGAGAAATGCTTGCAAAATGTGCAGGAGACACAGCCATGAACTGCTGGCATTAGAACTCCGAAAATAATAGCTAAAACATCTTTTGTCACTACTCTACGCTTAAAGTTCACCATTTGTTGTATAATTCTAATGCAAGTGAAGGATGAGCTACCGAGGCCGGCCACTTCATTGTGCACTTATAAATTTAACTGTTCTTATGGAGACAGTTGCATAGGTAGGACGACTCGGAAAGCCCATCATCGCCTTCTTAAGCATTGTCAAACATGGTCAGTGTTATGTTGCTGCTGCTGAGTGGTTAATAGTAGTTTTCCCCGTCGCCAAATTGTTATGTACTCGTCGTCAAATTATTGTTATGTACTGGTCGAGAATTCAATAGTCCTGACGCGAGAAGGCGGAAATCAGAAGACCACTAGGATTGCGATGATACTTCTATTTTCCAAACACAAGGAGAATGCAAAAGTGGTATCACACCAAAGTAAGTAAGTAAGTCAGTAAGTCACACAAGATTGTGTGAGCGAAATATATATGACCATCCAGACAGTGTGTGAACAAATCACTAGACAGTCATAACATGAATGGCTAATTATAATGGAGTGTCGATCCAAATATACATAGCAAAATATAGCAGACATGTCAACAACCAAACATATAATATGGATATATGTCACCAAGCAACGGACTGTCAACAAACACTCATATTATATATAATATTATATAAGGAGAATATACATTGTTAAAGGAGACAGGTTCATCAAAGTGAAATGGTCACAGACTAAGCGAGTAAACAGAAAGAGAGACCAACATACACACTCACATAAATATATATATGTGGATACATATCAGTTAGGCAGATGAGACGTTAATTCATACACGATTCCCACACCATTTGGTTATGGGGATCACAAGATTGATCAAAATTCCGTGTCTACAATTCTATACAAGGTTCCACCTCAATTCCCTAGGTCGTTATGTCTTCAGTTGTTTAACATAGGTGAGGCAGTTGACATAAAAATTTGTGTCCAGAAGAAGTTTGTTCAATCCCTCCCCCTTCCACGGCCTTCAACCTCGACTTAGGATAGTCATCTTGGTTGATTCTATTGATCCACTTGTTTTTTTCTGTTGGAGTAAAGTCTGATAAGCGTTTACCGAAATACGTGTTTACTTGATTACATCGTGTTCTGAAATCCTCTTAATGGGAATATTTAATTTTCTATAGTTTGGTTTCTAAAGGTTAGTTATGTTTTTACGAGTTGATCACGGATTGATATCAGTTAGAGAACCATTGAAAATCAGGGAGTACTGGACAGCTGCTGTTTCATCCTAGTTTGGGAATCATCGGAAGTACGCAACCACTGGGATTCGAACCCAGGACCTTCCGGTTACAACGCAAGCTCGTATACCATTCAGCCACTGGGACCCGATTCAATGGCTCATGAATTCTAACTTCTACCAATTCGTGATTTAAATTAAAGAATTTGTTGACAGAAATTCCTTGGTCAGTCTCATTCCTAAGCTGTGCACGATGATGTCAACAATACCACAGGTCTTTAAGGAACTACTTCATGAAGAGGACAGACATTTGACAGGACAAGTTAACAGGAGAATCGCCATGTGAATACTATACCATAATCCAAAGTCTTTATTGAATGAAATGCATTTCAGTGCAAGCCACTTCCCACCTTTCACAGGCCTAATTTACGGTAAACCACACCAATTCCATTGAAAGATTTTACAGATATATTTAAAACAGAAAATTGGACAAAGAATCGGATCACACGAGGAAACGGTACTTACAAGAGCTAACTTGATCTATTTGTTGCCACTCTAATATAAACTTCACAGACCTTAATACATTTCATCTCTGTTTATGTCTTAAATGTAAGTAATTCCTAACATCGTGAATGGGTTATTTTGCACAAAGAGATTTTGTTAAGTTGTTCGTCTTGTTTTACGTTTGCCCCTCCTAATGGGCTTAAATGGTTTTATGATCCTTGACTTGAGAAGTCAGAATAGGTGGGGATGTCAAAAACAATCAGGATCGGAACAGCAAGACAGGCCTTTATTGATTTGAAATCACTTAGGAAATCTACAACATTCAGCACAAGGGACAATGTTCAGATTTGCAACACCAAGGTTAAGACAGTTCTTCTATATGGGTCTAAAACGTGGCGGGAGCGTCACCAGAATTACTTCGAAAAAGTATTGGAAGGATGCAAGCAGTATCTACCTATCAGAATCTAATCTCCTCTCTTCCTTTAGAATGCATTGACAAGGTTACCACAAAATCTGCTCAAACCGCTGACCAATAAATTACGTGTGGAATTTAGATGCTCTCAGAAAATGGTCAACGACTGGAAATCCTTACCCGATCGAGCAGTATCATCCATATCGATGAACTCTTCCAAATTATAAATTAGATCTTTTCAGGGGTATATATTGCAAGGTGGTTTTAATGTAAGGCAAATTCAGAGAGAAATTAAGGAATCTCGAGGGTGGTTCAGGAGAAAACCATAAGATCTTCAAGGAGTTGGAGGCAACTACGGATTTTCGGAGATGCTATCTTGGTTTTACTACCTAAAATTTCACCATTTCAATGTCATTAACCTATCACAAAACTAGCTCATAGTTTGTTTGCTTAACCTTATAATTTACTTGGTTAAGCAACAGGCGATTGAATGTGTCGAATTCCGTCGTAGGCTAACTCACTTAGACCACTACATTAATCCTTGTCTGAATCGATACACATCACCAACAGTTAAGTTCTTACCGTGAAGCACAAGCCAGTTTCATTGTAGTTGACGCTTTGATGACACTGAACGACAGCATGAGTATTTTCACAACAGAAAACTCACCGAAGTATTTTATCCGAATCTGGATAGACATCAACTCGACTCTCATATGAATCATATACTACATTATTTCTGGTGGACGAAACAGTTGTAGAATTCTAAAAGCCATACTTTCGCACAAATGGAGGTGATACATGGGTGTCACACCATAACGGCCACAGCGTGAAGTCTGCATAGTTAGAAAATTGGATTTTGTCCTTACCAAGATCAAAAACAACGAGTTTAGGAAGACGCTGAAAACCTGAAAGGAAACCTGATGTTGACATTTGCAACACGGAAACGCAATCACTCAACCACCCGCCTTGAGAGTCCAAGCTTCGATATCCTGTCCTAATATCCAACATCGTTTCTACTAGCTACTGTAAACAAAATTGATTTCTTTGTGCTCTCTTCTTGGCTGTAAGGTAAAGATTCTCGGTCTTCAGGGAAATTCGGTGTTGTTTGTTCCACCACTGGACTGTCGCAGCCCTGGTTGACTCCAAAAGCAGCGGTGCTGCAATTGATCATGTGATTTGTAGTGTGCGGTGTGTTAAGACCGTGTCGTCATTGTGAGTGAGTTGATCCCCTAACTGTTGGTCTTCCGGCGTAGTCAAAAAGAGAGATAACATTAACAGCTCATGCAGACTTGAAAAGAAAACAAAGAAAGAACTTGAGAACAGATGGTCAATGAAATTTTTCGGAGGTGAACTTTATTACACCAGTGATGACTGGAACAATATGAATGCACGTTTTCTCGTCAGATGTTAGAAAAAACTGTACATAACCTCTGTTTGAAATGATTCTCTGTGAAATACACAGTTTTTAAATACTATCTAAAATACTTTGTGCTGCTCAACGCTTCGTCCTCTCACTGTTCGACACTGTCTACTTGCAGCGATACTAATCGTGTTGTATCCCTTGGTTGTTGCAGGATTCTCTCAAGACTACTCTACAACCGGTTCAAAGCTTCTGCTAATAGACACTAATCCAGAAGTGAAAACTTCTTTGGATTATTCAAAGGTTTGTAGCAGCTGACTATAATTTATCACCAAATAACCATTAATTTATAAAACCCGTTATAATAATAATAATAATAATATATTCTCATTTTTTACATGAGGGACGCCAGTTTACAGGCATCATCAATTCGATAATTTACACATAATATTAATAAGCATATTTAGTAAAGATAATATAATAAAGTAATCTTTATTTTTCATAATATACTTTCATACCATAATTTCATTAACTTAGATTTTTATTCTAATATTTTTTCTGTTATTGATATCCCTATTAAGTTCCCTACACAGTTTTTGACTTCTTGGTCACCCAAATCTTCATGATAATAAAGACTTCTAAGAAGGCATAACTGGGAGAATAGTTGCATGTTGAAGAATAGCAAGCCAGGGGGAACGAACACACACGTGACTTTCAGACCACCCACTGCACCAACCCGGCCATCTTGTCGAAAGGGGAGAAACGGAGCTCAGCATGCATTATGGACGAAGGATATTACACAGAAAGATGTCCTGCTTAGTATCTTTCACCATCGTCGGCATTTCTCTGAAAATATTTCGTTTTTACCTGGTTTCACCGCCTTGATTTGACTACACATCACATGTTCTTTGTTCGTCTGATTCCTCTCGGATCTCTATTTCCTAACTTATATTCTATCCACTCATCACCGTAAATGTGGATTGTTTTCAGTGGATGGGTCCGATACCGTTCGTATGAATAAGTATAAACGACGGCACTTTCTTTTAGATTACTTATTGGTACTGAAATAATGCTCTGTAATCTCAAACGGACTTTGTGTTTCATACTGGCATGTGCTTGTATTTATTTATTTTATTTTATTTTTTTTTTTTTATTTTTGATTACAGCTTGATTCCACACTGTATTTTGGTACAAGTATGGAATTTTCAGCATGGATATCGGTAGCCCAAATTTTGCAGGCCGACCATAGATATCAGGTGTGCGCCGGGGTGGGCTCGAACCCCGGACCATGTACATGGTCGGCGAGAGTCCTAACCACTGTGCCACCGACGGCGTTGGTGGGCCCCTAGAATAGAGTTCTGGGAGGTTGGCTATAATCGTTTCGCAGTATGCATTGTGATATGACTGGGAAGCTTCCGTAATCGGAGTCAGACTCTTTATCAGTTCATTGTCTGTTGTCATCGAGGTTTTCTGGCAGTGATAACATAGGGGATGTTTAATATACAAATTCGAACTCTAACCGAAAGGCAATGAGGTTATGTTTCATTTCACAGTAACTTTCTTTCACCTTTTTACCTGTTGACCTTTGGAACAATCTCAAACGTTGTACCAATACCCCTAAAACGATAGCGTACAAAAGTGCTTTACAGTTATCGAAATTGTTCTGGTTGAACCATGTACAAAAACTCATATGCTACCTTACATTTCTACTCCTGCTGATGCTCTTAATAAGGCTGTGAGTGTCCTGGGACAAGCGGTTGGCTATGACACAGTAACCTTTAATGCTTATAATGCCATCTACTGTATTCATTTTCATCGTCCTTCCCAAACATATGGATCACAACTTTATGTCAACTCAGAAAACGCAACTAGATGACCATACGTGTAACACGCAGTTATCCAGGCCAACACACCTGAAAACACATATTTCTCGTTTAGTGAATGGCCCACTGCTTCTTAGGTATCTGATTAAGCATTATGCTTACTCTGATTATGATTCCCTGGAGTCTTCTTGGACAGTTATTGACCATATTTCCAGAGAAGGGATAGGCTGCACTAAATCCCTACTCAATACCACAGAATTTACTGCGTCTCATATTGCCTAAAATAAGGCCTAAATAAGGTATGAGAGATAGGAGATTCCTGTTGTATTAGCAGAGATTGCATAAAGCTGCATCCAGAGTGTGGTGTTCACTACTGATTCAATTCAGTGGCGCTGTAGAAACAAGTCGCGTTGTCTTTACCTAACAATTGAATAGGCATGTATGCGATTTCAGGAGTATACGTATCATCCACTCCGGCGTATGCCAAACGAAATGCTCCCAAATATGGGCCTATTCACCAAAAGTATCTCATATACCCTATCAAAGCACAACCAACATGTTACCTTTATAGAAAGACTCCAATTAGTAAACCTTGAATGAAACTAAGCACGACAACTGAGCTTAACAATGGTAGTTCCCAAGTTACCAGCTGCCGGCATCTGTATGTAAAGATACTCTTGGAAATGATGCTCGTCCAACTAAGTTCTCGCAATGACGTCCCATTTAATTCTGAAAAGTGATGAGGAATACAAATGTCGGCGTTTCGATCACTTATTAAAATGCCTTGATCAACGCTCACGACTGCGCGGGTATAATAGCAATTTAGAGGTTGAAGCTGTTGACGTTTAAGGACAGTGCGATGTATGCTGAAGCAAGATCTCACAGTGATAGCTCCTGTGGTGCTTGCTTCGAGTAGACCAAAGACAAAGCGAAACACAAAATTGATTATCCAAAACACGAAGTATATTACTGGTCCAAATTAGTAGTGCGACATCAACTGCTTAACTGTCTGGAGACTGTACATGAGCAACCGAACGTAACACGACAGCGTGCTACTTTGTGTGGATGCTTCACTGCGAATCTGCAGCTAAACAATTTGGTTTGAATGGTGAGGGCTATGTTAATCGCGAAAGATAGATAGATAGACAGTTTGACAGACAGCTAATCGACATTATGTGACTCTTTTATCGCGATTACTGGCAAATTTAATGTAACTCACCACGTGATGTGACCTTGAATGTTCTGTATTTCCTGTGTCTATTGCGTGTATACGTAATGAATTAACTGTTCATTTTGTCCGTTCCTTCAATACTGTTCGGTACGTTTTTGTCTTTTCTTGGGTGGCAATGGCTTTGTGCTTTTCTTGGTGTAATTGTATGCCTATATTTTCTTTTAGAAACAAATAAAGTTTAAGTCAAGTTACTCTGTTTTTAACTATAGTTAAGCCAAGACTCTGTATCGTCACTACTGAGGACGAACTAAATGTGTAGGCAAAACTAATCCTACAGGCTAGCACCCATCGTTGAGTGACGAATGCTGTGGCTAATAACTCTAAACAATTATCTAACGCTACTGTCAATGGAGTTGAAGATTGAACGATCAATTCTTGGTTGTTTGCTCAAACCAACTTCCCCAATTTTCGCAGAGGCATCAATACGACAGTCATCGTCTCATCGGTCGCTGTTCAGAAAGAAGTCAGGAGAAAACCATCAGAAGTAATCTTATGATTTATTTTTGTAACATTAGTTTTCAGACCTTAGTTCACTTATTCTTTTTATATGTTGGTGTGACAATACAGAAATATCAAGCGGCCAATCGCTGTTTTGGATTTTGCGTCCGTTATTACTAAGCGTTTCTGAAAACTTCAAGCAACAGCGTGGGCCCGAGCGTAGCGAGAGCTGGGCATTAACGGTTTATGAGACGTGATTGACAGTTTCTGACGATGGAAACAGATCTGGCGGATTCAAACAGTTGGTGAAAGTTTGGATAGTCACCGTTCATCTTTCCTGGTGCCGGTCAAGTCCTCTTTGAACAAGCAATATCTGGAACGTTTTGGAATTGGGTCAAGTTCAACAATGCCTGGGTCAAAGAAGGGACAGAGTGTCTTGGATGCAAACAGGAAAGTAAGTCATAGTGACTTGTCTGTTAATTGTAACGATGTGTCTGATGTTAAGCATGACATGGTTGATGTTACTGTTTCGCCGTTCAGGGATAATAGGAACATCAAACTCCCTAAATTTGAACCACGGTGTTTTGATGGAAACCCGGCTGATTATTTACAATTTGTAAAGGAGTTTGAGATCATGTTGAGTGGTTTTTTATTAAATGATGAATTGAAGTTAATGTATTTGATGAGATATTGCACTGGAGATGCTGCAAGAGCTATACAGTGCTGTAAGTTTATGAAGCCAAAAGAGGGCTACTACGAGGCTATGAGCATATTACGTCAAAGGTTTGGAAGACCTTCGATGATTGCAGGGAAATTATTCGAGGCTGTTAAGGGTAATGGTGGTCAATTACAGGATGACTCCCAGGCACTCACTGAGTTTTTGGATAATTTGCTAATTTACAAGAATGGAATGATTTCGATGAATCGCATGAGTGACCTCAACTCGAGTTTTATACTAGAAGTAATAGCAAGACGTCTACCTACTCGACTGCAAAGGAAGTGGGTGAAGATAAGCTCCCGTATGGAGGATGAGGGTATCGAGCCAAAGTTTGATGATATCCTGAAACTGGTAAAAGATAGTGCCAATCAATCTATGAGCAAGTTTTCCAGTCTATTACATCTCACCCCTAGAATAGAGCAGTCTGAGGGTAAAACC